GTGCCCCTGATTTCAATTTGACACATTTGAAGTAGAGATATTTGTAGGGATGTCCTTCTTTTTTCACATAAGAATATTGCAATTCTGTAGGATGACACAGATGTTAATTTTAGGTGTCACTTGTTAAGTTACATCACTTCTATCTGTCAACATTGTTTAATCCCTGAAATGCCCACTTCTATTACACACTTCTATAACCCAAGAACATCTCAGCCAGTTTGCATTGAAGTCCCTGTAGTTACTGAATAATAAGCCTCAGTATGCAGTATGCCTGAAGGTTTAAGGAGCTAAGACTGGATATCTGTATGTCCAGATATGTTAAAAAAGTCTAAACCTGGGGTTCTCAACCTTTTCCACCTCAAGGCCCACTTGTTTGTCACTAAGGCCAACAAGAAAACAAAACTCAGCCTTTTTACTTAACTTCATTTTTGGGAAATTTTAAGCAGAGTGTATCCACTCCTGCAAAATGTAACATGCAACAGTGAACATTAAAATACTAACAGAATGGATCAAATAAAGTGGAATGTCATTTTGTAGCGTTGCAGGTGGACAAAACTAAAACATCGTTTGCCTGATTTCGCAGGCCTCATATTAATGTTGTTCTCCATTTGGAAACGTTTTATACCTTTTTATTGTTAACTCAATTCTTATTTTATGGCAAACTGCCATCTCAGGCCCAGAACGGACCCCCCTGGCACCTGGCACCTCCTCAGTATTGGCCTGGGGACCACCAGACGGTGTTTCAAGGCCAACTCGTGGGCCACAGCCCAGTGGTGGAGAAACCCTGGTGTAAACCTTTAGACTGTGTTTTAATCAACATGCTCATGATGTGGATGTGGCTCATGAAACCCATTCAAATTTCTGAAAATAGATTTAATGTAAACATTGTATTACACTGAAATAGCTTTTTTGTTTGCTTATATTTCATGCATTTTAATTAATCTATGATAATAGAGTTTGGATCTTGAACCATGTGGTGATGTTTTCATTCCCATGTGGGTTCATTTGCAGATAGAACTTTACAGAGAGCTCTTAGAATGAAAAGGTTCGCGTTTGGTCCGTTCTGGAAAAGGTTTCTAAATATCCTAGGATTTTAACGTTCAGAGTTTTGCTATCTTGAAAGTGAAATCCCTGATCTTTAATACCTCAAAGCTGCACCGAATGCAGACAGAACCTTATACTTCTTAGCTGAAACGGCATCTGCTGGGTGATGTTTATGGCATGAGTATGTCAATGTTATGCAGCAGGGTTCAAGCGAAGTGTTACCGACTTTACAAAGTCGTCAAGTCAAGCCATTAATTATACAACTGTTAAACATATGTATTAGGTCTGAAAGAGGTTGTCGCGGTATTACAACCCACGTCTCCACTCTATCAGATATCCATTAAAACAAGACCCCATAAGAAGTAGCGCGGCCGCTAATGGATCCTGTTCATTTCTCGTTAAGTCTGGTGTCTCCTACGGAGTCCCAGAATGCCACGGAGCCAGGCTGCCTGTCTCGCGGGGATGAATCATCAGTCACTTTGAATAATGTGCCTCATTACAGCCCGGGGTAGTGCTAGCGTGAGACCCTCGATGATGTGGAGTGGAATTATAAGGAAGGGGAAAGAAAGAAAGAAAAAAAAACGCTCAGATGTTTTAGATACTGTCTCGCAGGTGTTACGCCACTCCAGACCCAGGTAATCAGTGCCCAGCTTTTACAAATTGTCATCTGGATATTAAGAAACGGAACGCGGCCGTGTAAGACCTTCGGGATGACTCATGAACCTGAGTCGCTTTCAGTGTTGAAACGTTAATTGAGGAAGAAATTATGACTCAAGCCTCTGTTTATCGTGGCTGAACTTTTGTGGGTGTTGAGCGACAGTTCCTTCCTGAGTGCTTCACTCTTGAGAAATATTATGCAAGGTCTTTCGAATAGATTTTCCTCCCGGCTCGTTGACAGGCTCCCCTCGGCTTCTCGAGTCCTTACCGCATCATTAAAGCGATGGCGGACGCATCGAGTCGGGACATTTGAAGTGCCATTGAGGTGCAGAAGCTCTTTCTGATTCACCAGAGTGAAGACTAAGTCACGTTACAGACTCAAAACACCTGCAACACTGATGGTTTCTTTGGGAAGATAAAGACACCCAGCACGTGTTTGAAGATGAAGCACGTGAACAAGCACAAAAGTCTCTTTGAACAATGTGGGGCACTTGCGATGTTTACGCTCCGCTTCAAGTGTTCCATATATGAAGGACTTGTCAAGCGAACTAGTTTCCTAATAACAAGAGTCAATACAGACCAACTAAGAAGATCTGAAGTTGTGTAATTGCTTGGCAACCCATTTGCGGCTAACTGCAGAAGTGTCCCTTCGGAAACTTGGCCCGATCAACGCATCCTCAACCCCTTGTAATGAAACCCAATTTGCTGGGACTCTTGTTCTCACTTGTGGCTCTACGGAGGTTGCTGGAACGAAGAACACCAGGAGGTCTTCTTGTTTTCCTCTGTCCTGAATTTCCATGACAGGCGGGAGCCTTCGTTAGCTCTTCCCTCGTTAATGGGCTTTATTTCATGCCGCGCCGTCGCAAGGAAAAGATGGAAGGCGGCGATAATAGCCTGAAAATTATAAGCAAAGCCTTATGAATATGCAGCAGCCGGTAAACAACTTGCTCTCAGGTGCCCTCTGAGAATCGGCAGCTTTCTCGCAGGATTATGGGCCTCTCTGCAAAATGCTCTGCCTTTAATGATTTTTGATACTGCTAACTTGGCAGTTGGGGTAATTGTTCAGGCAGGCTTGTGTGGTCTGTTTGCACAAAATAGTTCTGGTGGTGCACATTTGATTTGTGCAATGTGTTTGCGTTGCCTGTTTTTTTTTTTAATTGAGCAAGATGAGCTGCCTGGTTTGAAATTGGCTCCTAAGATGAGTGTTAACACAAGCGTAGAAACAAAGTGCTGAACTGAAACAGCTTCTACAGGGAGATTCACTCGAAAGAGGCCCCGAATATTCTGTAATAACTCTCTCTAGGACAAAGCAATCTCAACGAAACAATGTGCAATGTGCTCCTCAGTATATGGAGCTTCGAACAAGCCAGGATGCCCCTGCGTCGGAGCGATGAGTTAGCCGTCGCGACATTTAACCTCCGTTTGCAACGTCTGGGTGAAGACCCTTCATGTGTCTGGCAGAAAACTCACTTCCAGCATCGCATGTAATGCAATCGATTACACATACGTCAAGGTATGTAGCACATTTTTTTGGTTCAGATTGTTTCATCCTAACGGGAGTTACAACAGAATATTCGGGGCCTCTTTCGAGTGATTCTCCCTGTACTTTTCGAATGAAAAAGTCTTAAGAAAAAAGTGTCAGACTTCAATATAGTGGGGCACTATAATGATCTTGTAATGCTCTAAACAGGCCAGTAGTTGGTAAAGTTAACAGTGACTAGGATGAATTATGCATTTTCCAGAGTGCTTGTAATGCTTTTATTAAGACTTTTTGAAAATACGTCAAAAAAAAAAAAAAAATTACATTTTGCTGTAGTTTGGTCCACGTGTATTATTATCAATTTAGTAATAAAATATTAAATTAACAATTTAGTAATTCATATTTGGCTATTAGTCTATTTTAGATCTATTGTGCATTTTGGCTCTTGGAAACAAATGATGGTTGAAACACTGGCTTGACCTAATCAGAGCATTAAAAGAGCTCTGGAAAATACCATAATCACCATATGCTTAATAATGTGGTATAAGCATCCAGGCATTTAGTTAATTGTCAACTACTGGTTTGTCAAGACTTGAAAAGAGCATTATGAGAGCCTTATAATGTCCCACTATACTGACGTGTTACCATGTTTGCTTAATTATGCAAATACTACCACACACTGCAGTAGCTTCATTTCCTTTTACAGAACTAGTGGTCATTCTCTCCTTCAGCATCTCCTCCTGATTGTCATTATTTTCCCACTTCGTTCTAATTTTCTACTTTGTTGCAAAGCCGTTGGGAATCCCAGCTCGAAGACGTCCACAGTAAGAAGTAAATAGCTTTTTGCTGCATTGTGGTTCAGTTTTGGCCTCCAATTCGTCTTTAGTTCAATGTTGTAAGTGTCCCTCTGTTGGATAACAGGGGGGAACCCTGCCTAGTCCATGGAAGCGCCTTCACCTTTTCTAGAAGCTGGTCTTTTGGCTGTATGTTTGGGGTCATTGTCTTGTTGATCTGTCTGTCTTCTCCCCAGATTGAGGTTTTAGGCCACTGGGATTAAATTCTCTTTTAACATCTATTGTAATGTCACTCCATTCATGTTTCCTTCGATTATGTTCAATGTCTCAGTATTATTTGCAAAGAATCAGTCCTTGTCATGATGCTCCCACCTTTGTACTTCACTGTGGTTGTGGTGTTCTTGGGATAAGCTTGATTTATTTTTATCTGCAACCTTTATATTTATGTATAATTTAATGTAGCGTCAGAATTTTTCATTTCAATTTCATTTTTTTTTAAATATATCTTTGTTTATGCTAATAAATACAAACTTTTTTTGGTTCGTATTTGTAAGTACAAAGTCAAAAGACATGGGTGTAAAAGTGTAGAAGTGGATAAATGCAGTGGAATTATATTAAATGGCAAAAACAAAAGGGTCTGAATTGTTTCCCCATATCGTAATCTCTGCCAACACCATGCGGACAGCAAAATGGAGCGTCTTTGTGATGCGTCATGCAAGAGGCACACAATAGACTCGCTTAGCATGTTAACCTGTGGCCGTATAGAAGCCGAATGACCCTCTGCACTCAGCAGTGCACTTACCACTTTTTGTCTGAAATAGATTTATAAGAATTGTTTAAGTTTAAGCTTATATTTAACGGTGTCTCACCCGGCCGGCTGTGCCGTCATACCGGTAACCGCTACACCTCCCACCACCACTGTGCTGTTAGCCTATTTTCCTTTATTATTGTTTGAAGTTTGGCAAGAGCTGCAAAACTCATGTGGAACTTTCTTTTTCTTTCTGTCTTTCCGTATCCCCTGCCAGTGCCCCCTCAGAAGAGAGGTGTGAGATCCTGCTGGGTCCGGAGGTCACATACGGCCCCCCGGGGCTCAGCCTGTCCTCTCCTGTTGCCATGACGATAGCCCACTGCGCCGAGGTCAGTGCAGAAAACTGGAACATTCAGCTCAAGAGACAGACCAAGGACAACAAGTGGGAGGTAGCGTAGAGCCTGCAACGCATCTCTCCTCTCTTGACCTTGCCAGCATTTGAAATTCATATCAGCGTGGATGGAGCCTGTCTTTGATTTATCGTCCTTTCTCTCGTGCAGTTGCTCTCTGCCCAAGCCAGGGTTCAGGTTATCTTTAAAACAAAATTTGAAAAATATCTTTTAAAGCTGTGGCTCATGAGGCAGAGAGCTTGTTTCTTGTCAGATAGGTCCAGCGTAATAGAGATAGTGTTGTTATTATGTAATGTTAAACCCGAGTCTCTTACAGATGCCGGCTGAAGGATAGACCCCAAGGAGCAACTTCAGGTTCATTGCTCAAGGGCACAATAGCAGTAGCAGGAATTTACCAGCAGGGATGAAAACCCACAACCTGCTGGTCCGCGGCCAAGTTCTCTGACTCCCAGGCTGCCGCCGTTCAGAGAGCTTAGCTGTGAACCTTTCCTTATTATGCGCGACGCTAGACTGTTTTCAATCGCTGCTGCCTTACGGCTGTTGCTGGCTGTCTTTGGTGTGAATCTGAGGGTGCCCCGTGGTGGTGAGAGGAAGCGGCATGACGGGTGAGAAAATGCTACTGAGAACAAAAAAAATCCCAAACAATTACAGTGCACGGTAGCAGAGGAGCCACGGGAAGCCGCAGGGCTGTCGGACAGAGGTGACCGCGGGGCCAGAGGGACAGTCAGACACGGCCAGTATCGATCCAGCTCCGCTGACGAAAAACAAGCTGAAATGACCGGCGACGTGAGGCAATTGGAAAGAGAATCATACCGAGGGTACCGCTCCTGACCTGGTCACTCAGTCAGCACTAAATCGAACGCATGTCTCTTGTGCTTAACAAGGCCTCGCGCTCCTGTTTACAGAGAAATTGCTTTTCACGCTCGCGCTTTAGTGTGATATTAATTGCCTGTGATTTTTAGCGGCTCTCTGAAGATTTCTCTGCTCTCTGCGGCTCTAGCTGAGAGTTAAGATGTCTGGACTTTTTACTACACTTATTATATGTAATAACGTGATGACATAAACTTTTATTATACAAAAGTAGAAGCTTCTTTTGTTTAATTTCCAGTCAAAACTGCCAGTTTTTTTAAGTACAAGTTATTTATTTTCATGCAATTAGATATAATCCACTTGCATAAGGAAGGGAAAAAATTTGACTTTCTTAAATTGAAGATAAAAAATATTTAAAATCAACAGAGAAAAGGGGACTCCGAACAACCACCTGCAGGAGCTGGTAGACCACCAACTCTGTCCTCATCAGATAAACAGCACTTAGAGCTCCCACCTTTGAGAGAGAGGAGAAAATCGAGCTCCACTCTTACTTCAGATCTGAAACGATCCACAGCCATCCTTCCACTGTGAACAGACAACTCAGCGCTATGGGTCTGAAAGGATGTGTAGCTGACAAGAAGCCTCACTGAGAAAAGGAGACAGAAACAACAAACAAAGAAGCTGAACAACTGGACTGACCACCCTGAGTCCAGACCTGAACATCACTGAATGTGAGAATATGTGGATTATGAGAAGCAGAAAGTGCAACAAACTTCTAAGACTGAACTTTGGAGGTGTGTCTGCAGATTTCTATGAAAAACTGAAAGCGGGTCTCCTGAAAAAGAACAGACGCTATCATAAAGGAGAAGATTGGACATACTAATTACTGAAAAATCTGATAATGTATTTAGTTGTTGGGGCCTCTCTGTTAAAAATGTTTTCAGCTTTTTTACCTGGTGCTGAAAAACGACTAGGTTGTACTTAATGGCGACGACGAAGGGCAGCCTCTGACTTTTGCACAGCGCTGTAAGTAATCAATTAAATTTACATTCCACATGCGTTTTCTATTGGCAGGTTCAGAGCTGGCTTTCTGTCTGATTTGATGTCAAAAAGACAACATGGCAAAAACCTACAGAATCATTTTTCTTCCTGCAAATCATAAAATATCCCCTCTTCCACATACAAACACAAAGACGATATGGATCTGCACTTTCAGCAGGATTTCTCAGCTTCATTGAGCTGCGGAAGAAAAATAACTCATCTAACCACAACACGCTTACATGGGTTAAAACCTTACCATTGCTCATTTCTCGGCAAGTTTCATTGTTTAATTCGGACCTGGAATTGATTCAGCACGTCATGTTGATCCCCTTTTGCCACAGCAGCAGTCGCTAAGAAAGATTTTCCAGCTTCGAGAGGAAATCGACTTTCAGTGCGCTAAACACATCATCTTCTAACCACTGAGAGGTGTAACGTTTCTTGTGGATAAGTCAACGTCAGCATGAGAACATGTGAGGATAAATCAATGAGCTCCTCAGGTTAAACAGAAAAGACCAACAGCGGCGTCAGTTCACCTCTGTAAACAGCTCCTGCTTGACCTCAGTTCATATTAATACTCTTTTTTTCGCTCTGTGCTCCAGTCAGTCCGGCTTTTATCCCATCACAAAGGCTGGCTCCTCCGCCGAGGTCTTTGCATTTGATATGTATGTTGCTTTGAAGAGCTCCAGTCGTACTAAGAAACAGGCTAAAGTGAAAGGCGGGCTGTATTATATCGACATGCCTGCTCAGCTTGTCACTGACCTAACCTTGTCAGCCATTAGAGACGTGACCTTGGTGATTGTAGAGCGATTCTCCACGGCGGAGTGAGCTTGGATCCTGCTGCCACTGGCAGCCAGAGGATTCCTTCACGCAGAAAAGGGAGAATAAGAAGACGACACGGATGAAGACAGCTCTGCACAAAGGCTCTTTTGCTACAAGGTCAGGTTGAGAGGTAGAGCTGTGGAGTCAATGCAGACGATACAATTCGGAAAATAATACATCAGCTCTGATAGTTGTGTTAGATCAGTTTCTTGGACCCAGATGACCCTGCTACTACTGCAGCTGCGCTAAATAGGAGGTGGGCTTCAAGTCATGTCTGTCATGAGGACATCAAATCCAGCTTCACTGTGGGATTAAAGCAGATCCAGATGACATAGCCGAACTTATGGCAGCTGCAATGAAGCCTACATTGAAGCTTATAAGAATGCATTAGAAACAGTATCATTTTGAACAAAATAATGTCTGTTATTAGTGGTCATTGTGCATCTTCTCAGTTGCAGAGATAGCAAAGCTACTTGGGGTCCAGACCTCAGCTGGTCATCTTATTTTGCAGATTTATTAATATGTGGGTTTTATTTTGTTTAAAGCTTAATTACTATAATTTTGTAAAGTAATAATTGGTACAAGATAAAGACTTTGTGTATTTTCCTTGAATTCCCAAAGCGTGGATTGACTGCACACTGCAGATTCACACTGGATTAAAATCACTCCACAATTATTACTGTCAGACTGTAAAAACTACACACACTGCAGATTCACACTGGATTAAAATCACTCCACAATTATTACTGTCAGACTGTAAAACTACACACACTGCAGATTCACACTGGATTAAATATCACTCCACAATTATTACTGTCAGACTGTAAAACTACACACACTGCAGATTCACACTGGATTAAAATCACTCCACAATTATTACTGTCAGACTGTAAAACTACACACACTGCAGATTCACACTGGATTAAAATCACTCCACAATTATTACTGTCAGACTGTAAAACTACACACACTGCAGATTCATACTGGATTAAAATCACTCCACAATTATTACTGTCATACTGTAAAACTACACACACTGCAGATTCACACTGGATTAAAATCACTCCACAATTATTACTGTCAGACTGTAAAAACTACACACACTGCAGATTCACACTGGATTAAAATCACTCCACAATTATTACTGTCATACTGTAAAACTACACACACTGCAGATTCACACTGGATTAAAATCACTCCACAATTATTACTGTCATACTGTAAAACTACACACACTGCAGATTCACACTGGATTAAAATCAATCCACAATTATTACTGTCAGACTGTAAAAACTACACACACTGCAGATTCATACTGGATTAAAATCACAGATATTGTCAGATGTATATTAAAATTAATCCAGATGTCCTCTCTCCTGCACAGGAAGTGATGTCAGTGGAGGATGAGTCGACTTCCTGCTACTGCCTGCTGGACCCTAAGAGCTGCCACTTGCTGCTGGACGAGCCAGGCTCCTACGCCCTGGTGGGGGAGCCGCTGAACGAGCATGCTGGGAAAAGGCTGAAGGTGGCCGTGTTCGGCAGCTTGGAGGCCTCTTCCCTGAACTACAGCCTACGAGTGTACTGCGTAGACGACACGCCTCATGCCTTTCAGGTCAGCATGACATGATGTTGCTGAGTAACATAGCCACTTCCCACCTACTGTATCATATACATTTGTAGTTTTAAGTATTAGCATTTTTTAGAAGATCTATGATTCCGCACCCACCTACACTTTTATATGCCAGGTCACTCCCATACAGAGTGGAGATTATGTGCTGGGTCACTCCCATGCAGGGTTGTTTATGTGTGCTCAGCATTTTTGGGGGTGATTTGGGAGTTGATAATGTTTAAAATTGGATTTAGTTTAAATTTTTCATTAAACCGTAGTGTGGAGGAGTCATCATGTACTGCACATGTACTGCGTTGTTTTAACTGAGCCACCTCGACTGTAAATATTAAAAATACCCCAATGTTTCTCTGCTTGATCAGGAGAGTGTGGATGTTACAGAGACGGTTGTGCAGCCATGGCAACTCGAACAACCCCACCATATGCAGCAGTTTTTCTTTCACATTTTAAAGCTTTTATTTTCTGGCAGGAATCAGACTCTGAAGTCTGTGTGAAATGTTAAATGCCGTTAGAAAATCTCTGCTTTAGCTTGGCGGCACGCTCTATATTTTGCACAGTGTGCATGCTCACAGTATTCTTCTTAAAGTGTATGACATCAAATTTTATGGGATGTTATGGTAATACGAGTTGTTTTTGCATTCTCACATGGACACGGAAGGGGAAAAAGTTTTTTAACATCCAGATACGTGCAGACAAGAAATTGAGTTACATTTAGTTTTTGAGTTGAGGTTCAAGGTGACTTCCAGTGATTTTTCTGAAAATCTGCATAATTCAGTTCAGTGTTTGAGATACAAACAAAGTCATTCAGAGTGGCTTGTAGAGAAACAAAGACTCAGATTTCTTAGCAGTGTTTGGGATAGGAAACAGGGGTCATTTTAAAACAGGGGCTTATGGAACAGACTTCATGTTCTAAATGTAAGTCCTAAAAATGGAGGTAAATCTCAAAAAAACTAGTTTACTCTGGGACCTATTTCGCCTCACAACACCCTGCATATATTTTAAATATATGTTTCAGGCCAAAATCTGCTCAAAACTATTGTAAAAGTGTCCTGGGCAGCGCATTCATGTAATAGCCTTCTGTGAGGGAGCTTTTAGAGGTGGATGTTTAGTTCCTATCACCACCACTAAGAACAACTAGAATTAGAACGTACCATTTCCCACCAAACCACTCTGAATGGCCATTTATTTAAGCACAAAGTTTGGAAAATTCGACTTTTTTAAGATTTAATATTTGGTTTAGGGTTTAAGTTAAATGTAATAGATATGCGCACAGTAGCAGTACTGTACAGAGCATTACGAAGCACTGACACTAGTGCATCCTGGGAGATTGTAGAAGGGGTGGGTTTGGAAGTAGTTGTCCTTGAGATGTCCTTGCCTGCACTGTTCCACCGAGTATGTGTGATTTGAATGAATAGTACAGTCAAATGTGCAAATGTGGCTTAAAATGAATACCAATGAATTCCAAATCATCTAAATAAGCCGTGTTGGCATATTAGATCCATACGTTTGGGCGTCCCTTGTCAAATGACTTGTTGATTACCTAAGTGAAAATAGGTTAAAACGTCCGTACAGAGAACACACTTCTGCACATTACAATACACAACTGCTGCTTATTTGCTGTTCGACATACTAGATGTCAAATCGAAAGTGTGCATTTGCAAAAAAAGGCATATTTAAGTGTCTCTATAGATGATATGTCCACTTATTTTCACTTACAAAACAAAAAAAAAACTTAATTTGACCAAGAGGTGTTCAAACTTTGGCACACAGATGAATATCTGTTAATGGCAACAGGCCTAATTCCTGTGCAAAACTTGCACGTGTCAGCTACCTTGGGCATCATATTCTCCTCTTACAAATAGTTCATAGTGTTTTAAATAATAATGCTAATACATACATACATCATCTAAACCGCTTATCCTTCTGGGTCGCGGTGGGGTGCTGGAGCCTATCCCAGCTGTCATTGGGCGGAAGGCAGGATACACCCTGGACAGGTCGCCAGTCCATCGCAGGGTAGACAGACAGACATACACAGTCACTCACACCTAGGGGCAATTTTAGCGTGTCCAATTGGCCTGGCTGCATGTTTTTGGACTGCGGGAGGAAACCGGAGAACCGAACCCAGGCCATTCTTGCTGTGAGGTGACGGCGCTACCCACTGCGCCACCATGCTGCCCATAATGCTAATATTAATAGCCTAAATAGATTAGCTGGGAGTTTAGCAGATGACTTTATTTACAACCAGGGGTCACCATGACTACAACACAAATATAGCCATTTTACTTACCATCCAAAACCACCAGTGAACCTACACGTGACTTTAGAGGCATCAAACTCTTCAGACGTCCAGTTCTTATCACCACAAGTGTGAACGGTTCTCTAGAACACTTTATCTTAGCGATTTGATAATGCAAACATTTTTTAAAACTCCACACTAATCCCACATATACCTTAATGTCTAAAAGGTCGTTTTAACAATAAGTAAAGAATGATAACTTCTTGATATATTGATGTTGCAAATATATTACGTTACACATTTATTTCGACTTAATTATATACACACACATTACAATATAATTTAATTTACGGGGCTCAAGCCAAGTTATATCTAAGACCTGGCCTGTAATGACAAGAACCATTCAGTGGAGACACAACACTCGTTTTATCTCGGTTTCCTCACTCCTGATCCGCTGGTCTTCACATGTACGACGCTAATGGTCAGGACCATTATCAGCAGGCCAATGCTCATCGCCACCGCAATGATCATATGAGCTTGAAAAGCATCCCGCGTGTCTCGCGCGCCTTGAGTGTCAACCGTGTTACAGGCTGATAAGACAGAAAAACAGGAAATGGCTGTAAACAGGATTTATAAAACCTCAAAACCAACAGAAATAACAAGATCAAGCACTGCAGATCATGATAACACTTCTGGAGAATTACCGCAAAGCACTGCACAACTCAGTGGCCGAGACGTAAACAGACATTCAGAGTGGTTTGATGAAGAAATGGCTCATTGTAGAGAAAATTACTGACTGGTTTCTTTACAGTGGTGGTGATAGGAGCCAGACATCACCATGTTCACCATGTTCCCAACTCACTTATTTACCATCCAAAACCACCAGTGAACCTACACCTGTCTTCTGAGTTTTTATATATAATGTTAATGATGGTAAATAAGCGGTACATCTGGAGAAGTACGTTTTCTTTAGGGACTACTTTGCCTCACCACGCCCTGCATGTACCCCTCCACCATGAATGTGTTTTAAAATATAAACCTCAAGCCTGAACCTCCTCAAGACTGTAATGAAACAGAGTCTCAGCCATTTCATGTAATAACTTTCTGAGTTGTCACTGAACAATTTCACATCAAACTACTCTGAATGAGTTAGTTTACATCTAAAACATTTAATTATGCAGAAGTTAAGAAAGGTTGGTGAAATGGTTGGTGAAATTTTGCCTATCAAGCCAGTAGCTGAGAGTAAACTGACTTATTTAATCAGAACATTTTTACTTGTATATTATATATTATCTTTCGCACATAATTTATTGACGTAAGAATATTCAACTAATGCTTTATTAAGACAGTATGAGGGTCCTAATTCAGCTCTGTGAGTAAGTAGTGTAGGTAGACCCCATGTTCAAATAAGACCACCACCTTTTTTGCCTTTATTTAGAGCTCATTGGTGATTTATTATTGATAGGAACAGAGGTGTAGCCAAGGGATGGTCAGGAGTGGCCAGGAGTGAATGTGCGCCGGGGCCTTCAGCAGTGCTGCTCTGTGAGCCACATTATGAAGAAGACTTTGTGATGCTGAGCTAACTATCAAAATCAGTCATCTATAATCATTTATCATGCTGACTAATTTAATATAAGACTACCCTTATAAAGCATTTCTGAAAGGTTTAAAATTAGTTTGTTAATGGTTATTGGTTAATGTTTAAATGAATGAGGGTTCACTAGTAGGCAAACAACAGGTCCCTCTGGCCTTTTTATGTATGGGTTGTAAGATTTTAAGTTCTTTATGACCTAATAAATAACCATAATAAACTCATTTTAAACCAATAATGAACGCTTTGTAAGGTTAGTTATATTTTAAAGTGGTACTGGTTACCTTATACAGTGCTGTCTGGCCAACTGTCCAGTCATTAGACTAATGTATAACCTGTAGTGAATGCAACCTGGATATAATAACTTCTATGGCCAGTCTGCATGAAATGTTGTTTTGTTTGTTTTTTTGTTTTTTTTAAGTGTATGCTGAAAAAAGTGACGCATTGAATTGACTTGATTCAATTACACCATTTTCTCATGAAAATATATTGAGACAATGTTTTATTCAAGTTGAAATGATGAACAAATTTAGTTATGTACAGAGAAAAACCTATGCATCACTTTTTTTAAGCAGTGTGACACCCAAAAAAATCATACCTGGCCACCCTATTTTTAAAATTTCTAGCTTTGCTCCTGTATAGGAATGAAAAAGAGGCTCATTACCCAGTGCTAAAGAAAGGGTTGCGCACCAGATTATGCTATATAATCTACAAATAAAAGCGCTCTGGAAAATGTTTTATTCACTCTACTTACTGCTTAATTAAGTGCTCTGGATATTTAGCAGCTATTGGCTTGATAATTAGGGTGCGTTTATAGTGGATATTTATAGCTTGATTCTTTTAGTCTGGACCAAAGCAGAAAATAATACAGTGCTGCATATTAGTTCTGGTTTTATGACATACATTTGGCAACAGTAACTAAGATAATATCCAACTTTCTGAACTGAACTTTCTCAACTTTATGATTCTTTAAGGGTTCTTTAGTAAGGGGAGTAGTTCTATTGAGAACCATGAGTTCTATATAGAACCATTTCATGCTTAAATGGTTCTTTGCGAGGTGAAATGCATAGAACCTTTTAGAAGGCATCAAAAAGCGTTCTTCTATTGCTAGAATATCAAGGTTGTCAAGTGTTTCACCATGCATTTAAGCATGCAAAT